CCGGACGATGGCCACCGCGGGTCCACTTCCTGCCTCTCAGACCCAGTAGGTTTGAATTATTTATTCCTTCATTTATTACCTTTTCAGTGGATGTGAAATGAGGAAAAATGGAATGTGTAGACTTTTTGTTTCGAAGCAACTAACGGTAATATTTAGGTTGGATCTGGTCGTGCCTGTGGGTGTAGAAATGAGAAAGAGTGGTGTCTGAAAGTGAATATTAGCGTGTGTATTTCTTAATGTCCATTGTGCGGTGATTTTCAAATGCAATTATCTTATTCAATTGGCATTTGTGATTTGTGCTAATAACGGTGTTATATCTCCCAAATATGATAGATATATCTGCCGATCTAAAAGCGAAAGTAATAATTCCGTCAATGCTTCATCCTCGTGTACCTATACCCTTAAAAAATGAATAAATAAAAAACATATAAAAAAAAGAAAAAATGAAAATAAAATATAAGATCTGTTATATTACCAGGACATATTATAAAAATAAAAACAATATATAAGCCAATATGGGAATACTATCAGCATCATCGTATACTTCTAGAGGTGCTCGAATGCCAACAACGACTGGTCAGACTTTGGACAAAAACAGCGCACGGCAAGCATTTTTTATATGTGCATGCATAAAAATATTAATGTATATATGAACACATACATAATATATATATGTATGTATATATATATATATATATATATATATATATATATATATATATATATATATATATATATATATATATATGCATACATACAAAACGTGTGTGTTTGTGTGTTGTGTGTGTGTGTGTGTGTGTGTGTGTGTGTGTGTGTGTGTGTGTGTGTGTGTGTGTGTGTGTGTGTGTGTGTGTGTGTGTGTGTGTGTGTGTGTGTGTGTGTGTGTGGTGTGTGTGAGCTTAGACTATTTAATATGATTTTCTTGCTAAGTAGGAACTCAGAACAAAGAAAACCGTAAGTCCTTCACAGTAATTTCCCTCACAGTCCCGTAGTGCCTTCCAAACCCCCCCCCCCCCCCGTCAGTCTACATCACATTACCCAAGGCTACAAGGATACAGAACGCGTACACTGCAATAACACAACACACTCAAATTTCCCGAGTAGGTTTTCACCATTTCCTTTTTGGCATCCCACGTCGCTCCAAACAAGACCTGCTATCCCAAAAACCGTGGTTTCTTAGGGTCACTGCATCTCCGTTATAACGAGGTTTTCTCCCTCGGAGGATAGGACGCACAGAACGCTAGCCAATAGTACCCTACGATTCACATTCTGCTTATCACTGAACGAACACACATCGGTATCGCAATCAGAACACATCTCCGACGGGTAAAAAGGGTTCATCCGAATGATAAAACCAGGGTGACATTGTTCATACAAAGAATTCCATAGAACGAAGCGTAAAGGGAGCGGTCAGTTACACACGACCTCCCTACACACACTCAAACCAGGTACTGTCCGCCGAGAACGAGATTCAGGGAGCACACTCGTGTTTTTTCCCTCCCTTTTTTTAGCTACACATTGGAAAAAAGGTGATCGGTTTTCCTTCAGTTGGTATAGTTTTAATATGATCGGGCATCGGTTATTGAAGAATCTTTGGAATGTAAACACCGTTCTATGTGGTTTTGACAAGATTTTTTCTCATTCGAAGTCGCCGTGCTCTGAGCGACTGAGTTGCCAACGTTTGTATTACTGTTTACCTACACTGCCTACCCCGCCAACACACACAAAACGACTTTGTAATTTCCTTAATACCTACCCAAAATAAACAATAAGATGAAGACCTCATACCCACCCTATGATTAATATTGTTGACACTGCATACGAGAAATGCCTAACATACAAGCGTGTTTGGCAGCTTCCCAGGCCACCACATGCGATGGTTTCCTGTCTTGCTTGTCACTTGCCTATCAAGTTCATCTGGGGAATTAAACTTGATATTTTGTCCTTTCTTTTGCAATTATCGGTTGCTCAGAGTTTTTAAAAATGAGAGAATGTTTTGAAATGAAAATAGTAATATTGCGCAATGGAAAACATTTTGTTCAGTTACATTCTAAAAGGTTAGTTTATTACTTAAAATATTTCGCCAATACTCTCATGGGAAAAAACTTGTTTCTTGTGCTTTTACATAGGGAAAAACAACGATTGAATTCACACTTATTATTAGAAAATAAACAATGCAGATTATGAAGTATAATTTTCCCGTACTAAACCATAACACAAAATCCATAAAAAAACTTTTGTAACATATCTCTTATGCATACCCCCCCCCCCTTCGCAAATAGCATATAATAAGCATGTGCACGTTAACATTCTGCCTAATGCACGGACACATTTAATAAAGGTCCCTGCCAGCAGTTTTAATAACCTTAATGCTGTATAAACAAATTACCTATTGCCTCATAGCGAGGTACTATACCCGCCCCGTACTTTTATAACTCCCCCTTGGGCTCATATCTCTTGTTTCTCACGGGGTACCCCCAAAAAATACTGAGATATAGGATTCAAAAGATAACCGATATGCATAGCAGTGAATTTAAACGTCATTATTGGTTTATCATACATTTGTGATATTGTAGTCTGTAATATATGAGCAAAAATAAGGTAAGATGGCCATAAACAGCTGTCATCGGTATGGACAATTGGAGGGCGTGGGTGGGAAGGCACGATAACTGCTACAGATAACACACACACTGTTATACATGTTATATTTATTTAATAAAGCACGTATCACACGCACAACATAACACACTAACACTACATTACACAACGCACACACATACACACACAGTTACACAAAATACACAAACACACAAACAAAGGTAGACGATTTGAGGTTTCGACATACTCTTATTATCATTCACGCAACGCAGGGACCGCATACACACAACATGCACACACACACACATATATTCACACAACACATCACACATTCAACACACCACACACACACAAATACAAATCTAACACTATATACAGCATTCGCTCAGGAGACCAACACACACATACCAACACACACACAGCACACACTAACAACACACACAACAACCACACATCAACACATCCACACACACACACTACACACTATCAACACACACACACGGCACGCAGGGAGCATCACACACTACACTACAATATATTTATTTTTTTTATCAACACTCGGAATAACAGACATTTCGACAGCACGGATACAGACACACACATTCACATACTACACACTACACACAACACGAACGACAAAATGAGGACAGTGATACAACCGACATTCTCCCGAGATGCCTTGTACTATCTATCAGGCAACAAGACGACCATGTTAGTGCTAGTAGAATTACACGTAATGACGATAACGAAACGACCTAAAAACATTCACCATTCAATTGATTAGCATCGATGATAATTAGAATAAGATATAAATATTTTTAGTAATATCCTAAGATATTAACGCATTTTCATTTATCTAGTATCTAATCACCTAGTCAGCGACATACACATATTATCCACATAATTCATACTTCAATATCACCATTCAGTCTAATTCCCCATCTACACATTAAAGATATGAATTACCACATAATTCAAAATATATATGTCCACATACTTCTATCTAATTTACTAATTACACAATTAAATAGTTGAATAATTCGCTTCTATATAATATACTTAGATGTAATAAGAGCTAGTAGTGTTGGCATTTCCATTACGCCAAATTAGCAATGGGTCTCAATGCCCTCACTTCAGTTACAGTATCCGCCCCCCCCCGCCCCCTACACTCTCGTTCCTGATCCCTCTGTATACAACAATCTGCATGATATTGAATGTATATAGTTTTAATGTTGTTTGGTTTTAGGTATGAATTACTTATATTTATATGCTTTGTTTATTTTTCCTATATTGTTTCATACATTATCATTGTGGTCGTCTTTTATCATCATACCAAGGATAATCGTAAGTCCTTTTTCCTCTAATCAATAATTTTCTTTTTTATGAAATATTTATCATCATCGGTTCGCCATAATTATACATAGTACCTCATTATTCAATTCATTAATACGATATCTTTATATCTTATCACTGGCACTACTACATAACACACAACCACAAGCAATATTACAACTTCCTAGTGGAATACAACAGAAGACTTATTGAATTTTAATGTTAGCCGTGATTTTTCTTCATGGAGTAATTTCCATTACCAAGAGAAGTTCATTAATCTTTACCGAAAATAGAACGCCAAGTGGGAGCAGGAGGAAGGAGGAGGAGTATAGGAGGTAGGAGGTAGGAGTGAAGGAGGATAGGAGGAGGTAAATGGAGTAGAGGAGGAGGAGGTAAGGTGGGAGATGCGTAAAGGGGGAGGAGGAGGTAGAGAATGGAAGATTGGAAGGAAAGAGGGAGGAGAATGCGGAGGAAGAAGGGGGAAGTAGAGGTACGTATTAAGGATGTGAGGATTGTATTGAGAGGGGGGAAGAGGAAAGGGAGGATTAGGGGTTATGATTGTAAGGGGGCAGAAAAGAACGAAGTGGACGAGAGAAAGTGTGATGAGAAAGTACAAAGGGGAATGTGAGATGTGAAATGTTGGTAGTCTCTTATTTTTAGGAGGAGGGAGGAGCGAAGGTACATTGAGATGGAATTAAGATAGGGAGATAACTATGAGTATAGACCGAGGAGGAGTGTAGAGGGAGAAACAGGAAGAATAAGAGAAGAAGAAGGCAAGAGAAAGGAAAAAGGAAGGGAAGTATAGATCATGATACAAGAATATGACGAAGGAGGTAATATAAGAAGAAGAAATAAAGAGATAATAAGAAAGTGACCAAATATAACAGTAAACAGAAACCTACTTCAACATCATTAACAATCATTAGCGAAAAAAACAACAAAAAACCACATTACTCAAAAACACCTAGTACTAGCACCTTTCATAGTGTTCAATACGCCCCAAGTGTTCCCCTTAATTTAGATGGGTTCCGAAAGATACGAAGAATGAAACCCTCCCCCTCCGAAGAGGC